GCCAGCCCATGTGCCTGGATCTAGTTATATTAATTTTTTCTTCATGTGTATTGTTCCTACTCCCCTTGTTGTTGTCCTTAGTACCTCCCACGAACTCTACACAATGGGCTATCTGTGCTCTGCCCACCCCGGGTATCGAAACCAGGATTCTAGTGTTGTAAGTCCGCAGACATACCGCTGTGCCACTGGGGGGCTAGCCCATTGGGCTTAGCAACAAACCAACACATATAAACAATTTTTTTGGCTTTTATCAACGAAATGATTATAAGAACAAAGGAGATAAAGCATACCATAGAAAGAAACATTTTTAATGTTACTTTATTTCAAAGCAATTAAGATATGATGAAACCATAAATGATGTAGCATTTTTTTTTTCAATGCTAAAGGAAGCGATTTTCTATAATTATATAAAACAATATTATAGAAAAGTGTCTCTTTTAGCATTAACAATTTAAAAAAATAAGCCTAGAATCTCCAGTAGTCTTAATACGGAAATGTAGTTTTAAAATGTACTATTATGTACATACGAGAAAATTTAACATAAAATATTTTACTCATACCATTCATAAATTAGATTAGGCAGAAGTTTGAATAGGATTGTTCTAGAATATTTAGGGACTGCCGTTTGCGTTTCCTTCTTCACCTTTTAGATTAGGACTGCACGCACATACCTTACAGAAACATGGCATATCAAAATATTTTAGAATATTCTCAAATCCAAATACTTCCAAATAATGTGCTTCTAGATAGCGAAGAAGGCTTGACAGTCAAAACTGGTAGTTGAAATAAATACAAAACAAAGCATACTGACAACACGACCGGATATGGTTTAGTGTTAGCGTACCCAGACTGTGAATTCAAAGGTTCATGGCTAGCTTCATACTTTGGGGCTGTGAGTGCGTTATAAGAGTGATGATCAAATCCTACAATTCGATTAGAGTATCCCAAGAGTTGACGGTGAATACGGTTAACTAGTTTGTCTAGTAGTTCAAAATTAGGGACTGCTATGCGCAGGAATAGCCTTGTATGACTGTGCACGAAATTCCTAAACAATGTTCTCATATACTTTATCGCCAGGTTACACTTTTCTACCTATTTATCTGTTCTCCACCAAACTGATGACAAAAACAATGATAACTACAGTGTCCACAGTCATCTGGTGTTATATAGTGTCCAACAGTGGCCAAGTCTCATATACTATAGAATAAGCTTATTTTCACTGAATATACATATCAACAAATACATTAAAAAAAGCAGCTGATGCATCTATAAAAATCAACAACATGCACATTGAATTACAGTATCTTGTTAAAACAAAGTAACGCTAATTCGATGACGAGGAACCCACTTTGAGACTAATAATGGTTGGAGACGGCTTGAATGGGTAAGGAAGAAAACTTTAATATAAGTTTAACGTTTCGAAACGTTGTACATTTGCTGTTATGTTAAACTTATATTAATGTTTTTCTTCATTACCCATTCAAGCCGTCTCCAAAGTAACTCTAACGCATGTATTTTGTTAATATTTTTTCCAGTTTGTTCTCTCTTACGGCTTTTAGCTTTACAAGAATTCTTATAGCCCGAGAATATAATAAACGATGGTTTTAGAAGCAACAACCGCTCCTACAGAGGTCAGAGATATCCTGTGAGTATGGAAAATGTTTGTATCTACCAATGACGTTCTCTCCTAGCCTCTCTTTCTTCAGTGTTGTAGGCTCGTGCACAGAAATACTGTGTGAGTAAGGTTTTTCTAGAGCCAGGTCTTTAAGATTTAAACATCTGTGACGAAATTCTGGCGAAAAAGAATTTTGAGAGTTCTAATTTAGGCAAATACGGTAGTTTCTAGGTGAAAGCGTTACAGCACTATCATAAAGCTGTACATTATAAACCCTTAAGCTAACCGCAGAGTGACTGGAGAGCTTAAAGTTAGGTTTTTGCTTCATTGAACCAGCTATCCCAGTGAACATTTCGATATAATATGCCTTAGCAGAAACGAACCTACGTGCATGTCGTTGTATTCTACTGTAAGACACGCCTTTTGGCACACCAGACACACTGAAAAGGCGAAAAAAAAAGTTGCTGTCTGAGATGACTCATGTGTAGTTCAGCCAAGTCAAGGAGAGGAAATCACAACAGAAAGTGAAATAAAAAATAATTAAGCATGTAGATTTAGTAATCAGGTTTTATGCAAAACTGTGTGGTTCTTGTTTAAAAATTCATGGATTATAAAACTGAATACTTTACAATGTATAACAGTTGCAAAAAAATTTGTGAAGAGCCGTCTTGCATTGCTTATTAGAGCTGAAAATAAATTGTAAGAAATTAAATTTCACATAGTTTCGTACTACAAATTAGAAACAAAATCGATTTCTGATAGCACAGGACGTAATTAAGCATATTTTGCATCTTCGACTGGTCAAAATTCGTTCATATTGCTTGATTTTTGTCATTCTAAATTTTTGTGCTGTTTGGTTTTTGGTTAATTTATGTACTTTATGTAATTTCCTGTGTAAATAACAAAAAGAAAATGTTGATGTGAGAAGACAGATTCTTTTCAATGTCTATAAGAAATGATAGGCATCTATAGTACACTGAATTCGTATATCGTCTAAAATTAGTCATACTTTAAAATCATGGTTTACGGTTTGATTTGTTGTTAAGCACAAAACTACACAACGGACTATCTGTGTTCTGCACACCAAAGGTATCGAAACCCAAATGTTAGCGTTGTAAGCCTATAAACTTACCGCTGAGCCACTGGGGAGGGACGTATTTTAAAATATTTGGATTAAGAAATGAGATACGATTGAAGTTAACAATAGAATTATGTTACTAAAAATATAATCATGATTTCAAAACAGTTAAAAGATGAGAAGGATGTAAAACTCTCCACAGGGAGTAAATAAATTTATAAAATTTTTAATTCCTGATAACGATTAATCCACGCTTAATTTTTGGTTCACTTTTATTACTCACAAAGCCTTGTTAACTTTATTACTAACACAGTATAAGACAGTTATTAGAAGTAGTAAGTAGAAGCTACAAGTATATAATTGTCGATTAATTAATCACTACTCTGTTAAAGTATTCAATTTTGTAATTATTTACCCAAAGAATCAATAAGAACTTAGGGACAAATAAGTTTTTTTGTCAATCAAACTGGTATCTAATTATTTTCGTTCGTATTTATGATATTTTTATACAGCGAAATTTCACTTAAATATGTTTACTGCTAATGCATTTGTTCCAATGTTCCAAAAAAAAAAGATAAAACAAAACTTAACAGGCGTTTGCCAATTGGATAAATTATGCACGTTCACCTAACCCCCCACCAAAAAAAAAGATAATTCTTGAGTGGCTACTAACCAGTTCAAAGTGCAATATGAGTAACGATAGTAGGTACTTAGAAGTAGAGCTTAGATTTCACGAAAAAATATTAGAATGCATTAATAATACAAGAAACAACAGTCTGTCTACTAATTAGCCCAGAGAAAGAAACTGACTGTACATTTCTATATGAAGATCAATATATATTCCAGCTCTTCTAAAAGTAGTTTAACAAAATATTTCGAAATTTCAGTTGCTTTGCCAATGAAGGAATTGAAGCTTTAAATTTTACGAAGTTTTATATGAAAGAAACAAAACGAAATAACTTCAGCTACAAAACTACATACACATTTATAAAGAAACTTAAAACGTTTCCGCCCAAACACAATGGTTTACCTAATCGCTTCGTGTCTTGTTAAACTAAAAGTAGAGAATATACAGAGAAAACCTATTTCACATGCACCTGTTGTTCACAAAACCGTTTACACTACAAAAACAAAATATAAAGACGGTTATTTTTATGAATTATGATAATTAATTAGTGGATAATACTTACAGTCTGAATCAGACATGTCGTCAGTTATCTTTCTCAATCTGTCGCTGCGGATATCAGACGCTAGTATCGCCCTCGGTCTCTGCAGTGACTGTGTCCCTAAAAGACATTTTATACAACTAGAAACCAGAAGGTGGCAGCACAAGCTAAATAACGTAAGCAGAGCCAAAAAAAAAGAAATATGTGTACATGTACGTAAGCATTGCAATAGAGCTTCTTTGGTGTAAATAAGAAAAAGAAAGTTATTGTATTCTTCCCACTCATTTAGAGGAGTACAATGCTACTATAATAGTGTATTTAATGATATCCCTAATTATTTATAGCAATAACTAAGAAATTTGGGCCTGTATAAATACAGAGAACACATTCCTAATATTTAAATTTTTGTTTGTATTACATTTCTTCACTATAATGGTAGAGAGAGATATCTAAAAACGGAAATTGTAGAGAATCTACAGTGATTATTTGGGACTAATATGCTCGCGTAAATACTTTGAACATTAACACAATGTTAAGATAATAACTTAGGACATGCACGAAGCAAAAAAAAAAACTAGATATTATTTTACGTTGTATATAATAGTACGAAATGTATATACTTTGTGATAACTAGCAAATTCATTGTTTCCGAATTATTGAGCAAACCTACACAAAGGTTTATCTGTGCATATCAGCCCCTAATTTCAAACTAACAGATTAGAAGGAAGGAAGCAAGTTAACAGCGCCCACCGCCAACTTTTTAGCTCCTATTTTCTGACTTGAATGGTGCCCTATTATAGGACATCCACAGTCCCAAAAAGTAGAATGCGTTTTTTGGCGACAACGGTCCGCGAAACATGATCTCTCAGGTTTACACTGTGAGTATGTTAACCACTAAGCTATGCTCAGCTCCAGGTTATCGCAATTTTTTATCCTTAAAGACATTACTTGATGTCATGGTAAAGCGATCCGAGAAAATAACAATAATAATAGTAATAAATGTACAATTGCCATTTTTATTTCATTCCTAACATTCCTTTGTAAAAGCTGTGGTTTGACAGTAAAAAAAATAATTTTCACTCCATATAAAAATTAAGTACAGATAACATTAAAAGTAGTGGAAAAAGTGGAAATGGTCGTGACCATGTAATGTCATGAATTTCTTAACACAGCTTTATAATAATTCTAGTACTAAATATTTAACACAATAAACCACAAATTAACCATAAAAGATAATAAAAACTAATAAAAGATCTAAGTAGGAAATCTACTATAAACTAATAAAAGATCTAAGTAGGAAATCTACTATAAACTAATAAAAGATCTAAGTAGGAAATCTACTATAAACTAACAAAAAATCGAGATAGGAAATCTACTAAAAACTAACAAAAAATCTACGTAGGAATTCTACTAAAAATTATTAAAAGTTCTATGTATGAAATCTACTAAAATTTAACAAAAGATCTAGGTATGAAATCTTAAAAAAACTAATAAAAGTTCTAGGTATGAAATCTACTAAACTAATTAAAGATCTAGGTGGGAATTCTACTAAAAATTAATAAAAGATCTAAGTATGAAATTCACTAAAAACTAATAGAAGGGCGAGGTTTACCTGATCGTTCCAATCTCGTATAATAAGAACCTCCCTTATAAGGCGCTCGACCCTGTTGTTGTGCAGTAAGAACCTCCGTTATAAGGAGCTCGACCCTTTTGGACCGTTTTATGGACTGTCATAAAAAATAGTTGTGTTTAAAAAGTAACAATAGTTCGTTTAAAGGAAAGCGTGAAATTGGTAATGGCAATTAACGTTTTGACTAAAAACCCATCTTTTTTGCGCATTCTATAACATATAGATTTACATTGTAATGTGAGTTCTCGGTGAAACTTAGATCGGGCGAATAGAGAATAATTCTATTCCGCTTCATATTTCTTTCAGGTGCCCTCAGTGGCACATCGAAGTGTCTGCGGACTTACAACGCTAGAAACCGGCTTTCGATACCCGTAATGGGAGAGCACAAATAGCCCATTGTGTAGCTTTGTGTTAAATTACAAACAAATTCTTCAACGATTTTTCATTATATAAAAATACTTGACTATCCATTAATTTATTTATAATGTTTTAGTGTATATTTTGTTTATAAGAACAAGTGTGTACTCTTTCAAAGAGAAAGGTATTTTGAGACTGCTTTTCTTTTTTTCTCTATGAAGGTCTACAAACATGTGTGTAGACAAAATTAGCTTATGAATATATTTAAGTTAAGGTATATTCGTATTTTTTATTTTTATTTTTACTTTTAGTTAGCGCTTTTATGACAAAAAGGGTCGGTCAACCTTCCTATCTTGGGCAATCTCCTGGGGCCAAGCTAAAACTTGTCTGTGTATAGATGAGTTACAAGCGGTTGTTCGGAAGACCTTGTCCTCCTTTAACTTGATATTGTGACTAAGTCATGGCGTATGCGGTGAGGACCTACGGATGACTAAACCTCACAGTTCCCTTGGTTTTTCGCCTAGTGAAAGCGTATTTTGTCCAGTAGCACTGATTTTTCTTTCTTTCATTTTTGTTAGATGAAAAGAACAGAGGAACTTGATCAACACACAAAAATACTCATGAACAAGATGTAAAGGTGTGATATGCACAGATAGCTTTTATTGCAGGAAAAAATAAGTTATGTTTTACTTGAAACAGTTTTGTCAAATCTTGTTATTGTTCTGGTCGAGTTTGACTTACTTATTCTGCAAAACTTGTCCTATCGATCATGAGCTTTACTAGAAACAAACAAGTAATGCTAAATTGGATAATACTCCACGTCAGTGTTCAGGGTATGGAATTTGTTACGAGTGTGTTTTATAGAAAAGCCATATCAGACTATCTGCTGTGGCCACCGAGGGGAATCGAACGCCTGATTCCAGTGTGGTAAATCCGTAGACTTACCTCTGGTCTACCGTGTAACTGGAATTTGTTATCCAGTATGAACAAATATGTTTCAAATATTTCTTAAACTTTTGTTTTTCTTTCTATTACATGTCTTGATTTTACAATACATTACATAATCTATAAATGATTATCGTTAAATAATCAATACGTTTACAACATAATTTTTTATCAGTTTACTATCTATAATATCACATGTTTCCGGGGTGAATAACTCGGAAGATGGTAATCTATAGTGGTTTGCATCCCAACTTGTCTCCCGGTGAGTTAGCGGTGTGTTTATGGACTTACAACGCGAAAATCTGGGTTCCGATGCCCTAATGTGGACAGAGCGCGGATAGTCCATTGCGTAGCTTTGCATTAAAAATGAGCAACAGCCTTTTAGTCTGTACTGTGGTAACTATTTGACTGATGTTAATTGTAAGTAATTATGGGAACGATACAGATACAGTAGCCACAAACAATGTGTAATTGTAAATAAATGCTCAATTTACCATCTTACAATACGCTATTATAGAAAAAGGAATAAATTGTTCAATGTACTGGTATTTTGTGTTTGCTTTAAACAGAACAGTGCATCTCGTTGTATGCTACCATAAGTTTATTACTGTATAGTTGTGAAATATCATTTCTAGTGTCCTGCACTACTCTTCTTACTTCAGCTAAGTTCCTTGATTACTGTTCGACCTTATTAGTCTCCATATTAGCACACATAGCTTTAAACAGAACAGTGCATCTCTTATATGCTACCATAAGTTTATTACTGTATAGTTGTGAAATATCATTTCTAGTGTCCGGAAACTAAAAAGACCGAACAGTAATTAAGAAACTTAACTGAAGTAGGAAGAGTAGTGTAGGACACTAGAAATGATATTTCATAACTATACAGTAGTAAACTTATGGTAGCATATAACGAGATGCACTGTTCTGTTTAAAGCTATGTGTGCTAATATGGAAACTAATAAGGTCGAACAGTAGTCAAGGAACTTAGCTGAAGTAGGAAGAGTAGTGTAATATTAGCACACACAACCTCAAGTTGCGCAGGACAAACCTTCGTTTCGAATATTCCATTTCCTCTTTTTTTTTTCCACGCGACGTTTTACCACAATGTCTGCATGCTTGGCATCACAGTTTTGTTAGAAGGTGAATCAATTTCCAAGATCTGTTATTCTTTAGGGAATGGCATGATGGATAAAAATAGATTTGTATCGGTCTGCAATCAGGATGGCATCAATTCTGTGTAGATTTCCAAAACCATTAGCTGAGATACAGCCCTCACTTGTATTGACCCCCAGTATGCTTTACTGTACATTCGTCATAATACGGTTCTCCTTTTTGTCATCGAACAAATTGTCATTAAATTCTCCCCAAAAATTTCGTTTGGATTCACCTGAAAATACCACCTTCGTTCATTTCATTGTTTGAAGTATGATGCTCATTTTAGCTTTTTAGTTTGGTTAACCATTCTGAGAAAACGTTTTCGAGCAGATACATTTTCAATGAGACCATTTCATACTAATGCATATCTAACTGTTCTGGAGATGACATTTCTCAACCCATAATTACAGCTAAGTCATTGGCAATATCTCTTCTGAATTGATATGTATCACTTAAAAGATTATATCAGAGTTAGTTGACATTACCTTTGACGGGTTTGGATTTTCTACCTCGCTCACTTCTATTACTAACACTAGCAGTTTCACGTACCCTTTTCATTGTTTCCATACAGTTCCTATTGGAACATAAATTTTTTGCCCCAATATGTTGCACAGAGTAGTAACCTTCACCAGCCAAAACTTTGATTTCTACACGTTTCTCCTGTGATATTTCTATCCTAAGAACCATGTGGGCAATCACCACACTACTGTTGAGAATGGCATGCCTTTCTGTAATTTTTTTAAGCGTTATTCTATTGTGGAACTGTTTAAATAGCTGTATGGCAGCCAATCACAGTGTAAGTCATTGTAACGCAAGTGTACCCTAAGACAGTTCATTTTCATAAAATAAAAGTGGAGCAATCAATTTGCATTTTATTCTCTAGTTCGGAAATTATTTCCAACACTGTCTGGTAAGATATCCTCTTGACCAATGCTCTTTACGCATACTGAGCTACCTATAAATGGGTGTTTACGATCTATGAAATTAATACAAGGATGAGTGCCTAGGCTCTACCGCCCCTTTCTCCACTGCCGCTGGTGT